ACAATGTGTCATTGGCATAAAGATAGACAAATACACTAATGGAACAGCATAAAAGTTCCAGAAGTATACCTACATATATGTGGTCCAGTGGTTTAAGATGAAGGTTGAATATAACATGGTAGAGTCACACTATGAATTGTGAAGCTGCCACAAACAAAATGTAAATGTATGTGCATGGAATATTAAATGCAAACAGAAAATTTCATGGTAACACGTATAGTATGAGCCCATCCTGTGCTCATTCTAGTTGGAACCAGCACCAAAGGGGATCTTATGGAAACACAGTTCCAGTGGCTATACTTGGCAGTTTCAAGGGTAACACTACCCTCTAGGCAATATCTTCAAGATCTATTTGGAATACACATTCTCATGAATACTCTAATGAAACAGCTCTTATCAAGGCCTGTGGTGGACAAATGCTTGGCAAATTCTACAGTCCACCAGCATTCCTCATTTTATTCAAACTCTCAGCTACCTGTGACACAGATGACCACTCTCCTATCTTGAAATACCTTCTCCTGGAGGTCTCTAGAAGAGGACATCCACCTCTTTCTCCTACCTCACTGGCTTTCCTAGTCTCTTGCAGGCTCCTCCTCCTGTTACCATCAGAGGAGGAGAGTGCCTCCTCTTCTCTTGAACCCTTCTCTTTCTAATTTACCCCTCACCCTAAAACCAGAAGACCTCTTCTGTATCCAGAACTCCAAATAGCCTAATTATGCTAAAGACTTTCAAAGATACATCCAGATCTTTCTTCAAAGCGTCAGAAACTCCAGGGTCCAATGGTCTACTCAACACTTCCCTTTGATTGTCTCAAATGTATCAGGGCCAAACAGAAACCAACCCTTCACTTCCCCTTCAATCATCTTCCCTGAGCCTTCCTCTTCTGAGGTGAACCACCCACCTCGGCCTCCCAAAGTGCTGGGAATACAGATGTGAGCCACCATATCCGGCCTGTTCATTATTTTTTTGATATTAAGTTATATAGACTGCTGTACTGATAAATGATTGGGATGAAACAGATTTGTTTTTAGTTAGGTTATGGTCCTCCTTTCAGTGGGAAGCCTCTCACATGCCAGTTCCTCAACATGCTGCGCTCAAAAACATATTTGAATCAAAAATTCTACATTTGGAAAGCTTGGAAAATAAAGCTTTTTCATGTTTAAAAACATATACATTGGCCAGGCGTGGTGGCTCACACCCAGCACTTTGGGAGGCCGAGGCAGGCAGATCATTGGAGGTCAGGGGTTTGAGACCAGCCTGGCTAACATAGTGAAACTGTTCCTACTAAAAATAAAAAAAAAATTAGCCAGGTGTGGTGGCAATCATAGCTACTTGGGAGGCTGAGGCAGAAGAATCACTTGAACCCAGGAGGCAGACATTGCAGTGAGCTGTGATCGTGCCATTGCACTCCAGCTTAGACAACAAGAGTGAAACTCCATCTTAAAAAAAAAAAGAAAAAAGTACATATTGAGACAGTCTGTTCCTAGCACACTAAACCTACAAGAAAGAGTAAAGTTCTTATATCTGAAACCAAAGGATGTCAAAATAAACAGAAAAAAAAAAACAGAGAGCTCCATTAAAGATCATAAAATAAGTATAATGGTAAGATGGAATGTGTGTTTCTTTTTTTTTTTTGAGATGGAGTCTCACTCTATTGCCCAGGCTGGAATGCAGTGGCACAATCTTGGCTGACTGCAACCTCTGCTTCCTGGGTTCAAGAGATTCTCCCACCTCAGCCTCCCCAGTAGCTAGAACTACAAGTATCCACCACCATGCCCAGCTACTTTTGTATTTTTAGTAGAGATGGGATTTTGCATCTCTACTTAATTAGCCAGGCCTGGTGGCAGGCACCTGTAATCCCAGCTACCAAAAAGAAATGCAAGCATCAAGCGATCCTCCCACCTTGGCCATTCAAAGTGCTGCCATAACAGGCATGAGCCACCATGCACAGCCCACTCTCATTTTTTGAGGCTCCACCCCCATAATCTAACCTAATCCTTATCATATCTTAAAAAAACCATTGCCTAATACTGCCACATCAGGGAAATGGAAAAATAATTTTATAAGGACACAAACATTAATTCCATAACAAGTGATTTATTAGTAGCTAACTTTTTATAGTTCTCTAAATAATCTGCATGTTAACCCCTTATCAGATATGTAACTTGGAAATAGTTTCTCCCACTCTATGGGTTACCCATTTACTCTGCTAATATTGCCTTTTGATGCATAAGTTCCACAAAGTCCGCATTATTTTTTCCCTTACAGATCATGCTTTTGATGCCAAATCTAGGAAATCATTGCAAAATTCACTGTCATACAGCTTTTACCATGTATTTTCACCTAATAGTTACAGATCTAAGATGTACACTTAGGTATTTCATTCATTTGAACTTTCATACATGTTAGGTGAGGGTACAAGTTCATCCTGTTGCATGTGGACGTGCATTTCCCAACAGCATCATTCTATGGAAACACTAAGCTATCCCCCATTGAATAGTCAAAGCAGACTTTTCAAAAATTGTTAAGACTTTATATAAATTAGACTTTATTAGACTGTCTGTGCTGTCTATCTTGTTGCCTTGTCTGTTTCTGTGTTATTGCACTAGTACCAAACTGTTTTTATTAGTATGGATTTGTAATAAGTTTTGAAATCCAGAAGCATGAGTCCACCAACTTTGTTCTGGCTTTTAAAGACTGTTTTGTTGATTTAGAGTCTCTTGAGATGTCATATATAGAAAATTTTTTAAATGTTCAAAAATGGCTGCTAAGAAGGAATCAAATGGTCAAAGCTATCCCCCAAAAGGCTACCAGGGAACAAAAAGTGCTTTCTCAATCAGAAAATACAAATCTAAGATGTTTTGAGAAGTGGCATGTCACCTTGGAAAGTTCATAAGGTCAGTAAGAAGGAACCAAGATCTTCAGTCACACCGAACCAATAGAAAATGAATGAATGAATGAATGAATGAATGGAACCAAGAAACCACACAGTAAAGCAGAGAGAAGCTGAAGTTCCTGAAAGTGTTAGAGCTGCCCCTATGATGGCAAAAATGGTCCTTCTAGTTCATGATAAATTAAGTATGAAGACTATGAAAGCATTAACTGTGTGGCTAGAGGACACACCAAAGAACCACATCCCTGTTGATGGTAACATCATACTTGAAAAAACACTTAGTCTCTATGATCACCACTGTGAGAGGGCTGAGGAGAGCAAGAGGAAGGAGTCTGAAGCCAGTAAGGTCTGGCTAAACACACTGCAGCCCAAGAACTTGAAGACCACAGGAAAGAGTTGTCATTGGCTGATGCCAGGGAAACCACAGCATTCCTAGAAGAGCTCATAAAACAAAAAAGAAAGACTACCTTCCAGAGCAAATCTTCTACTGTCATGAATCAGACATATTCGAGATGTCCAAAGGCACCTTCATCCGTGAGTGCAAGTACTGGCGTTCAAGGCCTGGAAAGACCACAAAGACCACCTTATTCTGGTGCTGTCAGGCAATACATCAGTTCACAAGAATAACCCAGGCTCCATCTACTGGGCAATCAGTAGGTTCTTTAGGACAAAAGCAAAACTTGCTCACCTGTATCCTGGCAAGAAAATAAGGTGACTTTCTTTTACCAATGTTTCACTCCTGATGTGACGGAATAACTCAATGAGACTTCCACTCAAGGTCTTCCTCAGAATTGACAATACTCCAGGCTCTCCATTCTCTGTTTTGCCTAAAAAAAAATGCAAGTGGCTCGGTATGGTGGCTTGCGCCTGTAATCCCAGCACTTTGGGAGGCTGGGTGGCTTACACCTATAATCCCAGCACTTTGGGAGGCCAAGAAGGGTGGATCAAGATGTCAGGAGTTCAAGACCAGCCTGGCCAAGATAGTGAAACCCTGTCTCTACTAAAAATACAAAAATTAACTGGGCATGGTGGTGGGTACCTGCAATCCCAACTATTTGAGAGGCTGAAGCAGAGAATTGCTTGAACCCAGGAGACAGGTGTTGCAGTGAGCCAATATTGCGCCACTACACTCTAGCCTGGGTGACAGAGTGAGACTCCATCTCAAAAAAAAAAAAACGCAAGTGATATTTCTGCCTCCTAAAACTACATCGCTGCTGCGTCACTAGATCAAGGCATCATCAAGTACATTAAAGTGACTTATATCCACCTGACCTTGGGTGAATTCATGGGGTCTTGATACTAACTTTTGAATGAGCTTTGCAATGGGAAGGCTTAGATGCCCTAAAGCCCAGGACAGCCAATGTATGTTACAAGCCATCATGGAATAAAGGAGTCTTCAGGGACTTCCTCACTATTGATGCAGTCATTAAGAATATTTGAAATGTTGCGAAAAAAAGTTGGTGAGGAGCGCTGTCTGAAATGACACACAAAAGAGCAAAGAGAAACCCTTACCAACTAGGAACTTCAAAGTCTGCTGAATCCACTACAGATGATGATCAGAAAATTTAGAAGACAGAGTCACTGATTTGGACACTTGAAAGGTTTGCCAGTTTTTCAGTAGACAAAGGTGAAAAAGAGGTATGATCCTCAAAGATCCTACAATGAAACAAAGCTTTCATTTCACCTGAGAAATAACAACATGCCTATAAACACTGCAAGATTTTTTGTGATGAAGCAAAGGAAAAGAAGAACTAGCTTCCTATAACTAAGCATCTGCAAATAAGATGAAACATTCAATAGTTACAGATCTTCAGCCCTCAAGTCAAACAGATCCTAACATTAGTATTATGTAGCCTCATTAAATGAGTCCACATCTATAATTGCAACTTGGTTCTTCCAACATAGATGATAGTCCTGATGGTCTGTCAAGATTCAAGTTAACCTAATGTCTCACTACTTACCCACAGTGCCATACATTTAGTCACCTCAATACATCAAAACATTGGGCACCACAGAATAATCATCATTATAATCATTATACTTGGGTTATCAAGAGAGAAGACCCAGAATTTTAGTGAGTGTTAACACATTAAACAAAAGCAGTATGTGAGGGCTGAAAGAAAGAAACTTTAATAGTCTGGCTGACACATACTATGTCGACAGGCTCACAATTACTGCATCTGTACTGAAAGTACATAGACTCTTTTCCTTATCATGATTCCCTAAACAATACAATAGAACAACTATTTGCATAGCTTTTACAATGCATGAGGTATTTTAAGTAATCTAGACATGATTGAGAGTATACAAAGAGGATGTCGGTACATTACATACAAATATGTCATTTTATAAAAGGGACTTGAAATGGCTTACAGAGTGCTGGAACCAAAACCCAGCATGTATCAAAGGATAACTGTATTCGAAAGAAACTGAAACTACTTAAGGCTTTACCAAAGTGCTAACATTCACAGGGTTTATCTCCAATGTGTTTCTTCCAAGTTTCTGAAATGAAATAAATAAATGGCTTTCCCACATTCCATACATTTACAGAGTACCTTTCCAGTGAGTTTTTTTATGTCTATGCAAGGAATTGAGAGAAGCAAATGCTTTCCCACATTCCTTACATTCATACGGGTTCTCTCCAGTGTGAGTTTTTTCATGTCCTTGAAGGAAACGAGAATGAGTGAAGGCTTTACCACATTGTTTACATTCATAGGATTTCTCTCTCATGTGAATTCTTTCATGACGTAGAAAGCAAGTGAGCCAAGAGAATGCTTTCCCACATTCCTTACATTCATACGGCTTCTCTCCAGAGTGAATTCTTTCATGGACTTTTAAGTTACCAAAATGACTGAAGGCTTTCCTACATGTTTGACACTCATAAGGTTTCTCTCCTGTGTGAGTCCTTTTATGTTGAGTAAGGTACTGGAAACAACTGAAAGCTTTCCCACATTCTTTACACTCATATGGCTTCTCTCCAGCATGAGTTGTTTTGTGATTTTGAAAGGAATAGAAATCAATAAAGCCTTTCCCACATTTGCATTTATAGGGTTTCTCTCCAGTATGAGTTGTTTCATGTCTTCGAAGGGAACTGGAAATACGGTAGGCTTTGCCACATTGTTTACATTTATAGGGTTTCTCTGCAGTGTGAGTCCTTTCATGTCTTAGAAATACACTGGGATAAACAAAGGCTTTCCCACATACCTTGCATTTATGAGGTCCATCTCCAGTGTGCATTGTCATGTGTCTTCGAAAGCTTGAGCTATGAGATAATGCTTTCCCACACTGCTTGCATTCATAGAGCTTCTGTCCAGTGTGAGTTCTTTCATGACTTTGCAGTGAACTGGGACAATCAAAACCTTTCCCACATACCTTACATTTATGAGGTCCATCTCTAGTGTGTGTTATCATGTGTCTTTGAAAGCTTCCCAGATGATGAAATGCCTTCCCACATTGCTTACATGCATAGGGTTTCTCTCCAGTGTGAGTTGTTTCGTGTCTTCGAAGGGAAGTGGAAGCACTAAAGGCTTTCCCACATTGTTTACATGTGTAGGGTTTTTCTCCAGTGTGAGTTCTTTCATGTCTTAGACAAGAACTGTAATCAGGGAAGGCTTTAAAACACTGCTTACATTCATATGGTTTCTCCCCAGTATGTGTTCTTTCATGTCTTAGATAGGAACTGTAAAAAGAAAAGGCTTTAGAACACTGCTTACATTCATACGGTTTCTCTCCAGTGTGCGTTCTTTCATGCACATGTAATAAACTGGGCCAGAAAAAGGCTTTCCCACACAACTTACATTTATGAGGTCCATCTCCACGCTGCACTGCCATGTGTCTTTGAAGGTTTCCCAGAGAACTGAAGGATTTCCCACATTCTTTACAATCATATGGCTTCTTTCCAGTGTGAGGACTTTCAGGTGTTTGAAACGAGTTGTGGTAACTGAAGGCTTTCCCGTATTGTTTATGTGTATCTGGCTTCTCACCACATTCATAATAATCATGTGGTTTGTGCCCAGCATCAACTCTGATGTAGCAATTAAGGGATGAATGACCCATGACGATTTCTTCACACATACTGCTTTGACATGGATCTACTCCAGGAAGAGTGTTCTTGTTCACAATACTATCTTGAATCTGGCTAGATGTTTCGCCACATTGGCGTCCATCTTTACTTTCACCAAATCTCTCTAACATATAACATCTGTAAAAAATGGGAAATATGTCACTAAAGGTTTATAAATCATTTTATAGGTATTAATAGGTATTGGATGTATATTTTTAACATTGCCATGTAAACTGCAGGCTTTGTGTCCTGCTTCAACGTGAATGGATGGAATGTTGTACAAGATAGCTCGACCCCAGGTGTTCTCAAAACAATGATATTCATATGTGGATTCCTAATACTGTTGCCATGGGAACTATTTTACAAACACTGAACAGCTATGGAACATTTAAGTATATATTTTTGGAGAAAATTTTCTAAGGATAAATAAATTTAAGCTAGGCTTGTTCATTTTCTTTGCTTGTTTTTAAAATTTCATGTCACCAGGCATGGTGGCTCATGCCTATAATCCCAGCACTTTAGGAGGCCACGGCAAGTGGATCATGAGGTCAGAAGATCAAGACCATCCTAGCCAACATAATGAAACCCCATCTCTATAAAAATACAATAAACTAGCCAAGCATTGGCACACGTCTGTAGTTCTAGCTACTTGGGAGGCTTAGGCAGGAGAATCGTTTGAACTCGGGAGGCAGAGGTTACAGTGAGCTGAGATCACACCACTGCACTCCAGCCTGGTGACAGAGAGAGACGCTGTCTCAAAAATAAAATAAAATTAAATAAAATAAAATTAAATTAAATTTCATGTCATTTTCAGAACAGCTCCAGGGACCTATCTTTCTCCTGTGAGTATAAATTACCTTAGATTTTTCCTGAGATATGTGTACTGATCTTCAATGTTCTGGTCTTTCCATTTCATTCCTAAAAGGCAGACCCAGAAAAATCATTATAAATTTTTACAAAATTATAGACAAACAGTAAGATTTTGATGTACACTGCAATCATGCAAAATGCATTCACTTAAGTACAGTTGACTCTTGAAAAACAGAAGTTTGAACTGCACAAGTCCATTTATACATACATGAATGTTCTTCAGTCTCTGCTACCCAAGACAGTGAGACCAACCACTCTTCTTACTCAGCCTACTCAATGTAAAGACAATGATGAAAATCTTTCGGCTGGGCGCAGTGGCTCAAGCCTGTAATCCCAGCACTTTGGGAGGCCGAGGCGGGTAGATCACAAGGTCAACAGATCAAGACCATCCTGGTCAACATGGTGAAACCCCGTCTCTACTAAAAATACAAAAAAATTAGCTGGGCATGGTGGCGCGTGCCTGTAATCCCAGCTACTCAGGAGGCCGAGGCAGGAGAATTGCCTGAACCCAGGAGCCGGAGGTTGCGGTGAGCCGAGATCGCATCATTGCACTCCAGCCTGGGTAACAAGAGCGAAACTCCATCTCAAAAAAAAAAAAAAGAAAATCTTTCTGATGATGCCCTTCCACTTAATAAACAGTAAATATAGTTTCTCTTCCTTATGATTATCTTACTAACATTTTTTGTTTCTTGCTTACTTTACTGTGAGAATATAGGATGTGATAATATGACATAAAATATATGTATTAATCACTGCTTATGTGATAGATAATGCTGCCTGTCAACAGTAGGCTAAGACGTTGTGGACAAAAAGTTTTTTGTTTTCTGGTTTGTTTTTGAGACAGAGTCTCACTCTGTTGCCCAGGCTGGAGTGCAGTGGTGCGATCTCAGCTTACTGCAACTTCCGCATCTCAGGTTCAAGAGATTCTCCTGCCTCAGCCTCCTGAGCAGCTGAGATTACAGGCACATGTCACCATGTAAAAATACAAAATACAAGGTAATTTTTGTATTTTTAGTAGAGAAGGGGTTTCACCATGTTGGTCAGGCTAGTCTTGAACTCCTGACTTCAGGTGATCCACCCACCTCAGCCTCCCAAAGTGCTGGTTATAGAGGTGTAAGCCACTGTACCCGGCCCGAAAAAAAGTTATATGAAGATGTACAACTGCAATGGGAACTGGCACCCCTAAATCTGTCTCTTTTTTCCAGGGCCAACCATATCCCCTTTCCATCTTCCAAATATTTGAACAGCATGAATGACTAAGAAATAGATGTCTCCAATTAATTAAGTGGAAATGCGATGTCATCCTTACCTACACAATCCAGGTTCCTGATGGTTTCTTGCATCACATCTTTGTAGAGATTCTTCTGACAAGGACCCAGCAAAGCCCATTCTTCTCGGGTGAAGTTCACAGCCACATCCTCTAAAGCCACTGAGGCCTGAGCCATCCCACATGTACAGAGGAGGAAGGGTGAAAATCACAATACTGATAATCTATACTCACTTCATAAACTTCACATGATGCTGTGGTTTCCAACCATTTTATTCAAGGACATGGTAAACCACTCTTATTCTCTGTCTACACTCACTTTCTCCCATACATTAACTCTGAAGCTAGAATGAAACATGTTTAGTAAATTAACAGTTGAATAGAAACATGCCACTTCGTGGTGAACTAAGTGAGTGAATCACGTAGCCTGGATCACCCCTAATGTCTATTCCACAGTGGGTTTGCAGTCCTTGGCATGATAAAGTCCTACTACTTATTGTGCAACAGAGAGTTACCATTAGCAGTCCTGAGACTGCATATCCTTACAAATGCTTGATCACAAAGTTGGGCCTTTCATGGTGTCTAGACAATGTATTTAGGGGAGGGCCCCATGAGCATAACAAAAGTGGAGTGTGCCTAAACTGTTTATGCAAAAATATATATATTATTTCCTTAACTACCATCTTCCTTCTGAGAGTTTAGAATTTTGTTACATACTCAGCAGAGGGAGTGCACCTGATCAGCCTCTGCTAGGTTTGAATGGTTGTCCCTTCCAAAATGCACACTGAATGTTAATCTCCAAAGTGGGAGTTGGGAAAAAAAAAAGGTGGGGCTTTAAGAGGTGATTTAGTCCTGAGGGTTTGGACCTCATGAATAGATTAATCCATAAAGGGTGAATAAATGAGCTATTTAAGGAGTAGGACTCATGTCCTTCTAGAGAAAGAGATCTGAGCTAGACACTCCACTCCCTCACCATGTGATACTCTATGTCACCTAGGGACTTAGAGTCCCCACCAGCAAGAAGGTTCTCACCAGATGCCCAGCCTTAATCCTGGACTTCTCAGCCTCTAGAAATATAAAAACTAAATACTGTTTCTTATAAATTACCCAGGTTCAGTAATTCTGTTATGAATAACAAGAAACAGGCTAAGACAGCTGCAAAGAAACACTCTGGGCATTGGGTCTATAATGACTGGGTAGATAAAATTTCATGACTTGTTGCAACTTGTTATTTGGGGGATTCAGCCCATCCTACCTCTAACAGAGAATATTTGGAAGCTGGCAACTAGTTTTCCCTAAATCAAATGTAGTGAAGTATGACAAAAGACTAATAAAAGATATTTCACCATCCCAATGAAAAAAATTTAGGCTGGGCGCGGTGGCTCAAGCCTGTAATCCCAGCACTTTGGGAGGCCGAGGCAGGTGGATCACGAGGTCAAGAGATCAAGACCATCCTGGTCAACAGGTGAAACCCCGTCTCTACTAAAAATACAAAAAATTAACTGGGCATGGTGGCGCGTGCCTGTAATCCCAGCTACTCAGGAGGCTGAGGCGGGAGAATTGCCTGAACCCAGGAGGCGGAGGTTGCGGTGAGCCGAGATCGCACCATTACACTCCAGCCTGGGTAACAAGAGCGAAACTCCGTCTCAAAAAAAAAAAAAGAAAGAAAAAAATTTAAACATTTTTTTGAGTAATGCCAAAAGAGAAGGAACAAATGGGAAATACTGCACATGTTCTTAGAAAGAAGTCAGTGTCATCTCTCATGAATATTTATACTTCCTAAATAACTAAAACAGATCTTTTAGTAGTCAACAAAAATTACATTACCAAATCTAATAGAATTCACAATATCTAAAAAAATGCTAAAAACCTTCTCACCAAGAAAGTGTAGCTTTTCAAAGACAGAAAAGGATTTTGAAAGTGTAATATTGGCACCCCATACCATTAACAGAAAGATAAACATATATACAAAGAAAAATGAAAACTGGTAGAAAAGTCTTGTGGAATTTTTATTCGTTCTTGGCCCAATCCCTCCCCCATCAATGCCAGTCTTCAGCACAGCAGCCCGAGTTCCCTGTATAGAACCCTGGACGCTGATTCTAGAGACAGCAGATCAGATCTTATTTGAAAATTATTGCCTTTGCATTTTCCGATCTGTATAAGGACTATCCAATGGTCTGAAACAAGGCTCGCTTTTCTTGTTTTTTTGTTTCTTTTTTTTTTTTTTTTTTTTTGAGACGTAGTCTCAACTCTGTCACCCAGACTGGAGTGCAGTCGCGTGACCTTTGCTTACTACAACCTCCACCTCCTGGGTTCAAGCAATTCTCCTGCCTCAGCCTCCCAAGTAGCTGGAAGTACAGGTGTGCTCTACCATATCCGGGCAATTTTTGTATTTTTACTAGAGACGTGGTTTCACCATGTTGGCCACGCTGGTCTCAAACTCCTGACCTCAAGTAATCTTCCTTAGCCTCCCAAAATGCTAGGATTTTGGTGAGCCACCACGCCCAGCCAAGGCTCTCTATTCTATTCTAGCTATAATATAACACAATCAGGGTCAAACTTGGCAAGAACTGCATGAAAAAGTTGCAAAATACACAAAAAGCCTCCAGCCAACTAGAAGAACAGACTATGATTAAGACATACAGTAGAGGCCGGGCACAGTGGCTCAAGCCTGTATCCCAGCACTTTGGGAGGCCGAGGCGGGTGGATCACGAGGTGAAGAAATCGAGACCATCCTGGTCAACATGGTGAAACCCCGTCTCTACTAAAAATACAAAAAATTAGCCGGGCATGGTGGCGTGTGCCTGTAATCCCAGCTACTCGGGAGGCTGAGGCAGAATAGCCTGAACCCAGGAGGCGGAGGTTGCGGTGAGCCGAGATCGCGCCATTGCACTCCAGCCTGGGTAACAAGAGTGAAACTCCGTCTCAAAAAAAAAAAAAAAATGACATACAGTAGATCAACTAAGTCGTGGGGAAAAAGAGCTGAAGAGAAAATTTCCTCCAGATACTAGAGTACTCAAAACCACGCAGGTATTCTGGAGAATTGAGAAAACCATGCATGCACAGTAAAGAATACATTTTCACAAAAGATACCTGAGAAAAAACCCTCATTTTCAGTTCTGGCCGAACTGTAGGTTTAGTTAAGCAGAACATAAAGGCTAAAGTAGAGTATTAAACAGCCTGGCTTAGTGTTCAAGGAACGCCCCAGGACAGAGCCATCCACAAAGACTAGAGGTCAGGCTTTTGTGTGCTTTATCTCTTTTTACTAGCTTCTAACATTCAGGAAATCTCTGTCAGAACAGTGGATGAATACACACTAAAGAACAAAGATGTTGGACAGTGTGGTGGTTCACACCTGTAATCCCAGGACTTTGGGAGGCTGAGGCAGATGGATTACGAGGTCAGGACTTCAAGACCAGCCTGGCCAAGATGGTGAAATCCCATTTCTACTAAAAATACAAAAAATTACCTGGGCGTGGTGGTGTGTACCTGTAGTCCCAGCTACTTGGGAGGATGAGGCAGAGAACTGCTTGAACCTGGGAGGCAGAGGTTGCAGTGAGCCAAGATCGCGCCACTGCACTTCAGCCTGGGCAAGCCAGACTCTGTATCAAAAAAAAAAAAGAAAATATGTCAATGAAGGCACAAAAATTATTTCCTTTTCTTATTCCTATTGGGTATCATAAAGGTTTGTTCAAAAAATGACATCAACAATGTACTGAGTGGTTATAGTTTATAATAGGGCAAATGGATGACAGTGATGTTAAACTGGGCAGGAAGGAGGAATTCTGAACACTGTGCTATACTAGCATTACCCTGTTAGCCAGTACAGTGTCATTTAAAACTGAAGGTTCATTTGTTGTGAATGGTTTACTCCAAATGTTACAGAATTCAATAATAAAATTTAAGAAACAACAGCCTATCACAGTGGCTCATGTAATGCCAAGGATTAAGACAGAGATGTAAGACAGAAGGATTGCTTAAGCTCAAGAGTTTGAGTCCACACTCAGCAACACAATGAGACTCTGTACAAAAAGTGGAAAAAAAAAGGCCAGGTGCAGTGACTCACACCTGTAACCCCAGCACTTTGAGAGGCCGAGGTGGGAGGATCACAAGGTCAAGAGATCAAGACCATCCTGGCCAACATGGTAAAACCCCATCTCTACTAAAAATATAAAAATTAGCTGGGTGGCACGAGCCTGTAGTCCCAGCTACTCAGGAGGCTGAGGCAGGATAATTGCTTGAACGCAGGAGGCAGAGGTTGCAGTGAGTGGAGATTTCACCACCGCACTCCAGCCTGGAGACAGAGCAAGGCTCTGTCTTTAAAAAAAAAAAAAAAACTACCCTGGTGTGGTGGCCTGCACCTGTAGTCCCAGCTACTCAGAAGAGCAAGTACGGAGTATCTCTTGAGCCCAAGAGTTGGACGTTACAGTTAGCTATGATTGCTCCACTGCACTCTAGTATAGGTGATAGAGCAAGACCTTGTACAAAGAAAAGAAAAGAAAAGAAAGGAGGGAGGGAGGGACCCCAGCTACTCTGGAAGCTGAAACAGAAGAATTGCTTGAACCTGGGGGTGGAGGTTGCAGTGAGCCAACACCATGCCACTGCACTCCAGCCTGAGCAACAGAGCGAGACTCTGTCTCAAAAAAAAGAGGGGGGCAGGGGAGGGGAGGAGAGGGGAGAGAGAGAAATAAGCAGACTTCCCATACTATTAGAAGAAAACGAAATCATATCGAATGCTCAGTTAAAATAAAATGAGGTGGAAAAAGAAAGGAAGTCTAAAAAAACCCGGCAAGTATAACACATATAAAACAATTATATATGTACATATTGAATCCAAGTACATCAACAACCACTTTAAATGTATATTATATGAATATACAAGAAGATAGATACTCACAGAGTAGAACAAAAGAAAACAAGACCTGGCCAGGCACAGTGGCTCACACCTGTAAACCCAGCACTTTGGGAGGCGGAGACAGGCAGATTACAAAGTCAGGAGTTTGAGACCAGCCTGATCAACATAGTGATACCCCAACTCTACTCAAAATACAAAAGCTAGCCAACTGTGGTGGCACGTGCCTGTAATCCCAGCTTCTCAAGAGGCTGAGGCAGGAGAATTGCTTGAACTGATAGGCAGAGATTGTAGTGAGCCAAAATTGTGCCATTGCACTCTTCGGCCTGGGTGACAGAGTGAGACTCCATCTCAAAAAAAAAAAAAAAAACCAAGACCCTCCACTGTGCGTAAAAAACTATTTTTTTACTCTCAAGAAAACTATTTTAAGTAGAAAGACACAGGTACATTAAATATAAACGTATGAAAAAATATATGCCATTCTAGCCCTAATCAAAAGACATATGGGGCCAGGCACGGTGGCTCACATCTGTAATCCCAGCACTTTGGGAAGCTGAGGTGAGCAGATCATCTGAGGTCAGGAGTTCAAGACCAGCCTGGCCAACATGGTGAAACCCCATCTCTATTAAAAATACAAAAAAACCCAGCTTGGCCAACAAAGCAAAACCCTGTCTCTATTAAAAATACAAAAATTAAGCCAGGCACAGTTGCTCATGCCTGTAATCCCAGCACTTTGGGAGGCCAAGGCAGGTGGATCACCTGAGGTCAGGAGTTCGAGACCAGCCTGGCCAACATGGTGAAACCCCCTCTATAAAATTAAAAAAAAAAAAAAATACAAAAATTAGCTGGGCATGGTGTCACGCACCTGTAATCTGAGCTACTCTGGAGGCTGAGCTGAGGCAGAAGAATTGCTTGAACCCAGGAAGCTGAGGTTGCAGTGAGCCAATATCGTGCCACTGTATTCCAGCCTAAGCAACAGAGCAAGACTGTCTCAAAAAAAAAATAGTGGGCATTAGCCTCAAGCCATGGTCAAAGCTACTCACCCTTCTATGCTTTACATGGATATTTAAAAACAAAATACTCATGTTTGATGAATCCAGGAAAATCACTCAAATTCAGTGTTTATGTTTATGGGTGGGAAGGAAATCGTAAGGCACCTACATTCTATATAGCTCAATAGGAAAAGCACAAATATCTATCCATTTCAGACAATGAATGCCATTTAATTACTACTTCTATGATAGTAAGCCATATAGTAAAAAAAAATTTTATTTTATTTCTTTAGCTGTTAGAAAGTCCTGTCCCACAGAATTGAGTACTAATCTGCCAAACCCACATAACAGGAACAGAACAGACTTCTCCATTGTTCCAAAATCTCCACCCTAAAAAGAGGAGGAACTGAACTTTTGTTAAATCTTTTAAATTAAATCAATGTACCTACTACACTTTGTTGTAAAAATGTATTCTTTTTTTTTTTTTTTTTGCAGCTATAATGAAAGAGGGTTTTTCCCAATATTTTTCCTTGGTAGTAGTTATACTACTAAACCCTGAAATTCCATATGAAATCATCCAAAAAACAAACACACCAGAGAAACATACAACACAAGCTCTGGGGCAAAAATAAATAAAGGTTTTTAAAATATGGAATAGAAGATTACATATACCATTTATATTCTGAAATCCAACTCTTTCTAGAATTACATATACAATTTATTTTCTGAAGTTCAATTCTGGGAATACTTTGTCTTCACTAACAATCTTTTTTGAGACGAAGTCTCACTGTTACCAGGTTGCAGTGCAATGGCCTGATCTCAGCTCACTGCAACCTCCACCTTCCAGGTTCAAGTGATTCTCCTGCCTCAGCCTCCCAAGTTGCTGGGACTACAGGTACGTGCCACCACACCCAGCTAATTTTTGTATTTTTTTTTTTAGTAGAGACGGAGTTTCACCATGTTGGCCAGGATGGTCTCATCTCTTGACCTGGTAATCCGCCCACCTCGGCCTCCCAAAGTGCTGGGATTATAGTTCACTAACAATCTCTAATCACAGGATGCATTTTACAGTTAATCAAAAATTTAGGCTGAAAAGAGTAAACATATCTTTTCAAGGTAACAAACACAGGAATGAGCAGTGCTGACTGGAACACATCAAAGTCTAATGTAAGTATCAGGACAGGTCATCCTATCACCTGGGACATCCCCTAACCCTATTTTGATCACCATGCTCCCAGGAGACACTGTCTTGTGTGCTTTCCAGGCTCTTGCACTACCTCAAGGAGCAGGTTTTCCAGTCCTTAGATTTAACTTTCTCTCTTTTGAGAGAGTCTAGAAGGCAGAAATCCTTTTTTTCCGTGGAATACAACCATGAAATTGGCTGATCAATGTGTCCCCAAGGAATGGAAACTAGGGTTGGGAAAGAAAAGGTGAGTGTCCCAGGGGTTAGCTTTTTATGGGAATGATACACCAGAAGATTCCTTCTACCCCAGGGGATCCAGTTGCTCCCCAGGAAGCCCCATGCCCCCTATCTCAGGCTGTCCTCTGGGAGGAGTGACCCAGGGGCTCATATTCACTAGACCCTCCTAGAGGCTGTGGGCATCCATTTTTTTTGCGACTGGTCTGCCTCTGTTGCCCAGACTGGGATGCAGAGGCACAATCATGGCTCACTACAGCTTCAAACTCCCTGGCTCAAGCCATCATCCCACCACAGCCTCGGGAGCAGCTGCGACTACAAGTCCAGCTAATTTTATTATCATTTATCTAGAGGCAAGGTCTTGCCACGTTGCCCAGGCTGGTCTGGAACTACTGGGATCAAGCAATGCCCCTGCCTCAGCCTCCCAAAGAGCTGGAATTACAGGAATGACCCACGGTGTTCAGGAACCCAGAACAGTTCTTTTAAGAAAAAGGCATACATTGCTAGCTGAAAACAAGACGACAAACTAGTGAAATATCGCCTGGGGGCCAAAGACTTCATAAAGTTGCTCTGAATTAGGGAGACAGACTGGGGAAGGCTCTGGAAACCAAGAGATCTGCTGCCAGCCCTAAGATCAGTTAGACTGAGGGGACAGGGTGGTAGATTTCAGACCCTGCTGCCCACATCTCTGCAAGACTCAGAGGAGAAACGGTCGCCTTTGGAAAGAAAGAAGGGACTGAGGACCACAGAGACCACAGCTCCTCCCACACACAAACCCCACACTCGAGTCTGGATTCCGCCTGGTGACCCTACGGTCGTCACCGTGCAGCCTCCTCACCGGGTTCACAGAACTGCGAGCCAGGCTGGAGGCGAGATTGCAGCTGATTAAATTAATCAGGTGCCCTCAGCCCCGCCGCCTCACGGGGCGGCCTCCCTGGGAGTCAGGTCACGCAGACGCCGGCTTCCCCACTGTGCCCGGGGATAAGATCTCTGAGAGCTGCTCAAGAGTCGCCTGAGTTCTTTCTCAGAGCCTGAATCCAGCGGAAAGGCTGGCGCCAACCAGGCTGAAGACCCCACAAGGGAGACCATTCAGCAGGAGAACGCGGTTCTTCACCTCCGGTCCCAGAATTTGCCCCTCACTTCCCCACCAATCAGCGACCCCACACCCCAGCCGCCCCTGTGCAGATCACAAACCCCTCAGGGAGGAGGATATGGGGTGTCCTCCCCTCTCCCCCTATTAAACTGTTCCTGCGCCAGCCCTGGGCGTCTCCGTGCAGCGACTCGGGCCGCGAACCCGTGCGGGTTACAGCCGCACAATCTGAGGAGACTCGGGGCTGCGGGCGCGAAGCTGCGCAGGGAGGGCGCCGGCGCACGGGCCGCAGTCTCCGCGCAGGGACCAGACGGAACGCCCGGAGTCCTGGCTGCCGGTCCAGCCCCACCCTGAGGCCTAGAAGACAGAGGGCCGAGCTGCACCAGAGGGACCTGGGTCCGCAGACCCCGAAGTCGCCCGCGGGGAGGCCCGGGTCCCGCCACAGCCGGTTCCGGCCGGTTCCACCTAGCCCCTCCCCCGCCTCGGGACGCCGGCCCCGGCACACGCACCATTTCCCGACTTCCGCGGTGTCCCAGGTCCTCCCAACGGCTCCCGCTGCCAATACCGGCTCCAGGGCGACAAAGGCTGCCACAGACTTTCCAGGTCGTCTCTCAGCGACGGAGACCGGAGCCTACCGCAGGTGGGTGGAGAACACGCCGCGGGCTTTTTCAACCACACACCCTCCTCTAGGCAGCGCGCTTGATTGACAGCTCCCACGACCCCGCTCCATGGTCCTGATTGGATAGAGCGTCAGGTCACGCCCCCCTGCGGACTGATTGACAGATGAAGCGATCTTGCACAGCTGAGTGGAGCCGGATGAACAAGTTCCTGACACAGTCGCTGGCAGAGTGGTCTTCCTTCCTGCACTGTGACCTGAACCCTCCCAGGGGGATATTTTCGCTTAAGCGGAATTTCCTGCCGGTACTCAATAAGACTTCCTCCTTCTTCCTCCTGGATACGGACTGACAAACCAATTATACTCTTATAGTGATTTTTCAATGTACAATTAAATTATATTTTTACTATAGTCACTCTGTTGTGCTAGCAAATACTAGGTCTCATTCTTTTTTTTTTTTTTTTTGAGACAGAGTATCGCTTTGTCGCCCAGGCTAGAGTGTAGTGGCGTGATCTCGGCTCACTGCAACCTCCACCTCCCGGGTTCAAGCTATTCTCCTGCCTCAGCCGCCCAAGTAGCTGAGACTACAGGCGCGTGCCACCATGTCCCGCTAATTTTTTGTATTTTTAGTAGAGACGGGGTTTCACTATATTAGCCAGGATGGTATCGAGTTCCTGACCTCGTGATCCACCCGCCTCGGCCTCCCAAAATGCTGGGATTACAGGCGTGAGCCACCATGCCTGGCCTCTATTTTTTATACCTATTAACCATCCTCATTTCCCCACTAACTACTCCCCGCTACTACTTTTCCCAGCCTCTGGTAACCATCCTTCTACACTTTTTGTTTGTTTGAAACAGGTCTTGCTCTGTTGCCCAGGCTGGAGTGCAGTGGGGCCCTCATGACTCACTGCAACCTCTACCTCCCAAACTCAAGCAATCCTCTCGCCTCAGCCTCCCAAGTAGCTGCGAGTACAAGTATGAACCATCACGCTTGGCTAATTTTATTTTATCTTTTTGTAGAAATAAAGTCTCACTATGTTGCCCAGGCTGATTTCAAACTGCTGGGCTCAAGGGATCCTCCTGCCTTAGCCTCCCAAAGTGTTGATATTATAGGCATGAGCCATTACACCCAGGTCAGGTCCTTCTACTCTCTATCTCTTTAAGTTCAATTATTTTAATTCTTACCTGCCACAAATAAGTGAGAATAGGCCGGGCACGGTGGCTCACACCTGTAATCCCAGCTCTTTGGGAGGCTGATGCAGGTGGATCACCTGAGGTCAGGAGTTTGAGACCAGCCTGGCCAAGATGGTAAAACCTTGTCTCTACTAAAAATAGAAAAAAATAGCCGGGTGTGGTGGTGAGCACTTATAATTCCAGTTACTCAGGAGCCTGAGGCAGGAGAATCGCTTGAACCCAGGAGGTGAAGGTTGCAGTGAGCTGAGATCCTGCCATTGCACTCCAGCCGGGTTAACAAGAGCAAACTCCATCTCAAAAAAATAATGTGAGAATATACAAAGTTTGTGTTTCTGTGCCTGGCTTATGTCACTTAAAATAATGACTTGCAGTTCCATCCATGTTGTTGCAAATGACAGGATCTCATTTTTTATGGCTGAATAGTATTCCATTGTTTTCTTTATCCATTCATCTATCAATGGACACAGGTTGCTTCCAAATCTTGGCTGTTGTGAATAGTGCCACAATAAACATGGAAATACAGATATATCTACAATATGCTGCTTTCCTTTCTTTTGGAAAGCAGTGAGATTGCTGGATCATATGGTAGCTCTATTTTTATTTTTTTTGAAGAACCTCCAAACTGTTATCCATAGTGGTTGTACTTTACATCCCCACCAACAGTGTATGAGAGGGCTCCCTCTTCTCCACATCCTTGCCAGCATTTGCTATTGCCTGTCTTTGGATAAAAGCCATTTTTACTCAGGTAAGATGATATATCATTGTAGTTTTGATTTGCATTTCTTTGATGATCAAAGATGTTGAGCATTTTTTCATATACCTCTTTGCCATTGTATATCCTTTTTTCTGCTGTATCAGTTGTAATGTCTCCTTTTTCATCTCTAATTGTATTTATTTTGTCCTTTCTGGTTTTTTTCTTAGTCTTCCTCAAGGTTTGTCAATTTTGTCTTTTCAAAAACCAACCTTTTGATTCATTGATCTTTTGTACTGTGTTCTTCATTTCCTTTTTCTTTCTTTCTTTCTTTTTTTTTTTTTGAGATGGAGTCTTGCTCTGTTGCCCAGGCTGGAGTGCAGTGGCATGATCTCAACTCACTGCAACCTCTGCCTCCCAGGTTGAAGCAATTCTCCTGCTCACCTTCCCAAGTAGCTGGGACTAGAAAAACATGCCACCATACCCAGCTAATTTTCGTAATTTTAGTAGAGACAGAATTTCACCATATTGGGCAGGCTGGTCTTGAACTCTTGACCTCAGGTGATCCACCTTCCTTGGCATCCCAAAGTGCTGGAATTACAGGCATGAGTCATTGTGACTGGCCTGAAGGTTTTCTTCTTTTTTGATGTGGATGCTTACATCTATAAACTTCCCTCTTAGTACTGCTTTTGCTGTATTTCATAGGTTTTGGCATGTTGCATTTTCATTATCATTTGTTTCAAGAAACTTTTCAATTTCCTTCTTAATTTCTTTATTGACCCACTGGTCATTCAGGAGCATATTGTTTAATTTCCATATTTTTGTATGGTTTCCAGAATTCCTCTTGTCATTGATTTCTAGTTTGTTCCATTTATTCTCTAAAACCATTGATATTATTTCAATATTTTGGAGTGTTTTTAACATTTTTTTTTGACCTAACATATGGTCTATCCTTGAGAATGATTCGTGTGCTCAGGAAAAGTATGTTCATTCTGTAACTGTTGGATAAAATGTTCTGTAAATATCTATTAGGTCCATTTGATCTATAGCGTACATTAAATCCCATTTAATCTTTCTTTTCTCCAATTTTTCAGTATACATTGAAATGATCTTTGTTGATTTACTGTCTGGAAGATCTGTCCAGTGTTGAAAAATGGGGTGTTAAAATCTCCAATTATTGTATTGGTCTCTCTCTCTCGAGACAGAGTTTCACTCTTCTTGCCCAGGCTGGAGTACAATGGTGTGATCTTGGCTCACTGCAGCCTCCACCTCCCAGATTCAAGCGATTCTCCTGCCTCAGCATACCAAGTAGCTGGGATTACAGGTGCCCATCACCACACCCAGCTAATTTTTTGTATTTTTAGTAGAGATGGGGTTTCACTGTGTTGGCCAGGCTGGTCTCAAACTCCTGGATTCAGGTGATCTGCCTGCCTCAGCCTCCCAAAGTGCTGGGATTACAGGTGTGAGCCACTGCACCCGGTGCTCTCTCTCTCTTTTTCTAATAATACACGTTTTCTACATCTGAGTGCTCCAATGTTGGGTGCATATATGTTCACAATTGTTATATCATCTTACTGAGTTGATCTCTTTATAATTGCAGTGACCTTCTTTGACTTTTCTTACAGTTTTTGTCTTGAAATATGTTTTGTTTGGTATAAGTATTGCTATGCCTCCTCTTTAATGCTTTCCACTGGCGTGGAATGTCATTTTCTATTCCTTTATTTTCAGTCTATGGGTTTCTTTATAGGTGAAGTGTGTTTCTTGTAGGCAACCGATCATTAGGTCTTGTTTTTTTAATCAATTTAGTCATTCTGTGATTTTTTTATTGGATGGTTTAGCTCATTTACATTCAGTGTTATTATTGGTGAGAGCTTACTCCTGCTATTTTGTTATTTGTTTTCTGGTTCTTTTGTCATCTTATCTCTCTTCTTTCCTTCTATCCTGTCTTCCTTTCAGTGAAGGTGACTTTTTCTGGTGGTATAATTTAACTTCTTACTTTTCATTTTTTGTGTATCTGTTGTATGTTTTTTGATTTGAGGTTACTATAAGGTTTGTAAATACTCTCTTATAACCCATCATTTTATGCTGATAACAACTTAATGCTGTTTGCATAAACAAAAAAGACAAAGAAAAAGAAATCTAAAAAAACTCTACACCTTAACATCATCCTCCTGCTTTTTAACTTTGTTTCTATTTATATACCATGTTTGTACTGTTTTGAAAAGTTGTTGTAATTATTATTTTTTATTGGTTCATCATTTAATCTTTCTACTTAAGAATAATTTACCCACCACAGTTAGTGTTACAATATTCTTCTTTCTGTGTATGTGTATTTACTGATACCATGAGTAAGTGAACTAATACCAGTGAGTTTTGTATCTTCAGATGATTTCTTATTGTACATCCTTTTCTTTCTGATTGCAGTACTTCCTTTAGTATTTCTTGTAGAACAGGACTGGTGTTGATGAAATCCCTTAGCTTTTGTTTGTCTGGGAAGTCTTTATTTCTCCTTCATGTTTGAAGGATATTTTCACTGAATATGCTATTCAAGAGTAAAAGGTTATTTTTCTTTCAGCACTTTAAATATGTCATGCTACCCTCCTGGTTTGTAACGTTTCTACTGAAAAGTCTTCTGCCGTATGTATTGGAGCTCCATTGCTTGTTGTTTCTTTTCTCTTGCCGCTTTTAGAATCCCATCTTTATCCTTGACCTTTGGTGGTTTGAATACTAAAAGCCTTGAGGTAGTCTTCTTTGGGTTAAATCTGCTTGGTGTTCTACAACCTTCTTGTGGTTGGATACTGATATCTTTCTCTAGGTTTGGGAAGTTGTCTGTTATTATCCCTTTGAATGAACTTTATACTCCTATCTCTTCTCTACCACCTTTTTAAAGCCAGTAACTTAGATTTGACCTTTTGAGGCTATGTTCTAGATACTGTAGGCATGCTTCAATGTCTTTTATTCTTTTCCTTTTGTCTCCTCTATTTTCAAGTAGTCTGTCTTCAAGCTCCCTAATTATTTCTTCTGCTTGATAAATTCTGCTATTAAGAGACTCTGATTCTTCAATATGTCAATTTCATTGTGAACTCCAGAAGTTCTGCTTGACTTTTTTTTCTTCTTCTTTTTTTGAGATGGAGTCTCACTTTGTCACCCAGGATAGAGTGCAGTGGCAGGATCTCAGCTCACCACAACCTCCACCTCCCAGGTTCAAGCAATTCCCATGCCTCAGCCTCCCGAACAGTTGGGGTTACAGACATGCACCACTATACCTGGCTAATTTTTGAATTTTAGTAGAGATGAGGTTTCACTATGTTGACCAGGCTGATCTGGAACTCCTGATCTCAAGTGATCTGCACACCTCAGCCTCCCAAAGTGCTGGGATTACAGGCATGAGCTGCACCCAGCCTTGATTCTTGTTAATTATTTCAATCTCTTCATTATATTTATCTGATGGAATTCTGAAT